ATATGTAAAAATAGTCTTGCATCCCAAGGCTAAATCTCACTTGATCATGTTATGTAATCTTTTCAATATGTTGTTCAAGTCAGCTTGCTAGTGTGTTGTTGAGGAATTTCTTTTTTAAATTTATGTTCATCAAGGATATTAGCTTATTGTCTTCTTGTGGTATCTTTGTCTGGATTTGGTATCAGAGTGATGTTAGCCTCATAAGATGAGTATATAAGTATTCTTCTTTTGGAAATTTAAAAAAAAATGCCATTGATTCATCATAGAATGTTTAGTAAAATTCATCTGGTCTGGGCTTGGATTTTCTTTTATTGGAAAAACAAAAATAAAAAAACATATAAAATTTTTTATTTCAACTTCCATTTCCTTGTTTAATATTGGCCATTCTACCTATTTCTTCTTGGTTCAGTTTTGGTAGATTATATATTTTTAAGAATTTATTTCTTCTAACTTACCCAATTTATTGAAAATAATTGTTTGTAGTTGTCTCTTATGAGTGTTTGCATTCCTGTGGTATTAGTTATGTTTTCCTCTTCATTTCCAATTTTATTTACTTGAATCCTCTTTTGTTTCTTTGTGAGTCTAGCTCAAGATTCATCTGTTTTAACTTATTTTTAAAAAGTTTTTTGTTTCATTCTATTTTCACAGTTCTCCAGCTCATTAATTTCTCCTCTGATCTTTGTTATTTCCTTCCTTGTACTACCTTTGAGCTTAGTTTATTTTTCTTTTTCTACATCATAGAGGTGTAAGATTAGGCTGCTCATTTGATACCTTTCTAAAATGAGGCATTTTATCATTATGAATGACTTGCTCAGAACTGCTTTTGCTGCATTATGTATATTTTAATATACTCTATTTCATTTTCTTTTGCCTCAAAATTTTTTTCTCTCTTGCTTTTTTTTCCTTCAATCATTTGACTCTTGAGTAGCATATTGTTTAATTGCTACAGATTTGCGACATTTCCAGTTTTCTTATTGTAATGGATTTCTAGTCTTATACCACTGTGGTTGGATAAGATGCTTGATATAGCAGTCTTCTTAAATTTTTTAAAACTTGTTTTTGTGCCTTAACATATGAACTGTCCTAGAGAATGTTCCTTGTGAGCTTGGAAAGAATGTGAATTCTCTGCATTTAGGTGGAATTTTCAGTATATGTCTATTAAGTCCATCTGCTCTATCATAGAATTTAAACCAGTGTTTCTTTATTGATTCTCTGTATGGATGAGCTACCCATTGATGAAAATGAAGTGTTAAAATCCTCTACTATAATATTGTTGCTGTCCATTTCTTCCTTTAGGGGTGTTAATTTTTGCTTTATATATCTAGGTGTTCCTACTTTGAGTGCATACATATTTAAAAGTATCACATCTTCTTGTTGTATTGACCCCTTAATCAGTATATAATTACCTTTTATTATCTATTATTATTATTTATTATTATCTATTATTATTTTATTCTCTATTATTACAGTCTTTGCCTTGAAGTCTATTTTGTGACTATAAATATAGCTCCCCAGCATCCTTTGGCTTCCATTTGCATGGAACAACTTCAATTTCATTATTTGTGTATCCCTAATGTCAAATTGGTTTCTTATAAGCAATGTATAGTTGGGTTTTATTTTGTTATTAATTCAGCCATTTTATGTCTTTTGATTGGAGAATTTAGTATACTTGCTTTTAAAGCAATCATTAATAAATCAATGATCCCTCAACAAGGGGAAAATATAATAAGAAGAAGAATAAAGTAATTATTGATAGTTTTGTACTTATTGCCATTTTGTTCAATGTTTTCTAATCCCTTTTTTGGAATTCTTTTGTGCCTTTCTTCTCTCTTAGTCTTCTTTCTTTCTGATTTGATGAATTTTTTTGTGGTGATATGTTTAGATTTCTTTATATTTATCTTTTGAGTATCTAGTATAAGTTTTTGCTTTGGGATTTTCATGAGGCATACATAAAACATATAAATCAACATATTATAAATTGATAATAACATGTTCAAATAAATGCATTCTAAAGTGCTACATTTTTAATATTTTTTATATCTCTTTTTATCTTGTGTATCTATTAACATCTTATCGTAGCTATTTTCTGCCGCGGAACTGCAGTTACGAGCCCACACAGGCTCCGCAGCTTACGAAAAGCCTTGGAACTCAACCACAATCACTCACACATACATTCAAGCACTCACACAAAGCTAAGAGTCTATTCTTCCAGCTTCTCCGAACCCCACTTTTTGAGGTTCGAGCCCCACGTTGGGCGCCACCTGCCGCAGACAAGCCCAGCAGCGGCGGGGAGATCGAGGCAATCTCAGGATTGAGCGAGAACGAGCACGAGGTGGTCGAAGGATTCGGGCGAAAGAGAAAGAAAGAAATGACAGAAAGAAATGACAGTGTCTGTGTGTCATTTCTTTCTTTCTCTTTCGCCCGAATCCTTCGACCACCTCGTGCTCGTTCTTGCTCAATCCCTGAGATTGCCTGGATCTCCCCGCCGCTGCTGGGCTGGTCCGCGGCAATTTTCTTTAGTCTTTTAGCTTTCTTTCATATGAGATTTATAAGTGATTATTAACTCATTACCTTTATAACATTAGGTAATTCTAGGTTTTACTATATGTTTGTAATTACTGGTGAGATTTATACTGTTAGGTGTTTTCCTATTACTTTTTAGTGTCCTTTCTTTCCAACTAAAGAAATCTCTTGTAAGGTCAAATGGTGATGAACTCCTTCAGCTTCTGTTTGGCTGGAAAACTACCTTTCCTTCAATTGGAAAGATTACTTTACAGAATACAATATTCTTAGTTAGCAGTTTGTTTGTTTTCCCAGCACTTTGAATATTCATTTCGTCTGATTGTGAAACTATAACAGGACACCCAGATAAGGAAAGACTTAGTAATTTTTCCTTGCTAATGGTATGAATATACATGAAGGTACCTAGAAAACTTTCCCATATCTTAAAGAAAAGAACCACATGATTTAACCACATCAATCAATCTAAAAGCATAAGCTAGTTATTAAGGCTATCTTAAAAGATAGCCTCTGACTTGTAAAGTTTCTGTTGAAAACTCTGCTGATAGCCCTATGGTGGTTCCCTTGTGTATAGAAAGCTATTTTCTCTTGCTGTTTTTCTCTCCTTATCTTTAATTTTTGATAATTTTATTATAATGTGTCTTGATGTGGGTCTCTTTGGGATCATCTTATTTGGAACTCTCAGGGTTTCTTGGATCTGGATTTCTGTTTCCTTCCTTGTGCTAGAAAAGGATCAGCTATTAGTAGACATGAAGTAGTGTTAACATCACTTTTCATTTAAGTATGATGCAAAATTGAAAGTTTTATTTTAATTATTTTTTCCAAAGACAATATTTTGTTCATTTCTTATGTATTTTTCCTAGGTTTCTTATATAAATGAAGGCAAAAAAAATAGATATTCTTATTCACTGCCTTTTACACTAAAGGTAACATACTATACATTGAGTGAACTATTATAATGTATATACTGTTCTGTACCTTGCTTTCATTACTTACTGATATGACCTGTAGATTTCCTCACATCAATGTGGAAACCTTCTTCATTTCTTTTTACAGTTGCATAATATTCCATCAGATGAGGGTGCCTCAATTTATTCAACTAATACTGACTTCCATGCATGACTAGTTTATAATATTTAAATTTTATAAATTATTTGATGATCAATAATCATGTATGCATGTTCTTTCATATTTATATAGAAGATTGTATAGGATATATTCTCAGGAGAGGGATTCCTGTGTCAAAGGGAAGTATGTCTGTTTTTTGGTAGATATTGCCATATTATCCTCCAAAAAATTTGTATGGTTTTGAGAAAATAAAAAATAGAAATTGTATGGTTTATCACCTTCCTTGCCTACTCTAACTCCAACTAAATATAACCTTGGCTCCACTCAAAACTTTAAAATGCAGATTCTTGCCAATCAATTTTAATCTCTGCCAAAACATAAATGCCTTTTACCTTTAGTTTTTCAGGCTAATATCTAATATCTTTTAATGTCTAACATCAAAAATCAATCCAAATGACTTCCCAATTCTTCAGAAATTTGTAATTAACATCACAGCCTGTGGATCTGATTAATCTGCCTGATAACTGCTACTAATAATCAGTGCCCAAATCTGATATAAACCTCCCAGATTATCTTTTCTTCTCTGCTCTGTTAAGATAACCTTAATAATTAGCTTGTGCTTTTAGGTTGATTGATGTGGTTGACTTGGTTGGTCCTTTTCTTTAAGATAAAAAATAATAATAATAATAATTTTTACTGGATACTGGCGAGTATGAAAATAATGTATGTGTTAAAGCTATTATTTTAATTCAAAAACACTCTAATATATTTTAGTGTTAATCATGTATGCTGATTAAGATAAATGTAAGTTTATTTTATACATTTATAAGCAAAACATAAAATCAGTGGTACCTTTAAAAAAAAGATATGGAAAGGTTTCCTGGGTACCCTCATGCATATCCATGCCATTGGCAGAGAAATATTACCAAGTCTTTCCTTATCTAGGTGTCTTATCACCCAAAGAGAAAAGGTTAAGGTCAACAAGCATTTAACTTGTGCAGGTCTTCTATTGCATTTAACTAGAGGGTCATAGAAAGAAGCCAAAGACATAAGTCTATGTCCTCTCCCTCTGTGATTAAGAAATGATGGCTTACAACAAGTCATAGAATTTCTTGTACTTTAGTTTTGTCATCTATAAACTGAAGGAAATGCTATGTAGCTCAAAGAATGGTGAGGATAACATGAGATAATATAGGTGAATGAATTTTATAAAATCTAAATCCCTACTAAGTAAAAATGAGAGAAAATATTCATTTCCTCTAACTGTGGCAAACTGTAACTATATCTTAACCTTCTCCCATCCTTCTTTGCCTCGCTCCAAGATTAGGGTGTATTTCTAGGAAAAAGAATGGGGTTTCATACCTTTTTGTGGAAGAAAAAGAAGAATTTAAGAATTTTTTTTTCTCTTTTAGCCATAAACTTCAATGTAATGAAAATTTTGAAAAACCCAAGAGCATATGCAATGTCTGCATCCAGAGAAGACTCAGGATTACCAAAACTGACAGCAAAGGTTTGGAGTATAGTAATTATGAAAGCATGTTCTTACTGCTTTAATTTATAATAAAATTTAGTTGAATAGCTTCACATAGGCAATGCTGGTTAATACAGTCTTGATACATATTTTATAAAAAATTTAATAATCTAAAGATTTATTGAGGATGTTAATATTAAAAAGTGTCTTTTTTTCTGAAGACATCCTTATTTCTAATTAGAAGAAAACTTAGCATTTATCTTTTCCTCACACTTTTGGCACTGTCCCTGAGTTGACATTCATACATGGCTTATCTCAGTTAGCATCAGTCTAAGGTGCAGGGAAAACTTCAAGGAAGTATCAGCAAGGTTTGATCTGCCCCTATCTCATACGCCATGGAATAACTGACAGTATGTAAACATATTAAGTCTTTTTTTTTTTTTTTTAAGATGTGTCTGTATTTTTATTTTTTTTTTATTTTTTTTTTAAATAATAAATTTTATTGTTATATTCCCCATACAATTGCAGCCCCCCATTCTGACCCCAATCCCTCCCCTCCCGCCCCCGCCCCCCTAAAAGTGTCTCTGGTTCATAGTTTTTTGTTAATTTTGATTTTCACTTTCTTAAAGTTATTCATTTTCCTGGTCCCTTATTTAAGTTTTCTAGATTCCTGTTATGAGTTAGACCATCCGGTATTTTCCTTTTTCTTTTTGGCTTATTTCGCTGAGCATGATCCCTTCCAGCGCCATCCATGTTGCTGCAAATTGCATGTGTTTATCTTTTTTGAATGCTGAGTAATATTCCATGGTATATATGTACCACATCTTCTTGATCCAGTCATCTATTTTTGGGCATTTGGGTTGTTTACAAAGCTTAGCTATTGTAAACAGTGCTGCTATAAACATAGGGGTGCAGGTGCTCTTTGGAATTGATGTTTCTGTGTCTTTTGGGTAAATACCTAGGAGTGGAATTGCTGGATCATATGGAAGTTCTATGTTTAGTAGGTCCAGAAATCTCCACACAGCGTTCCATAGTGGTTGGACCAGTTTGCACTCCCACCAACAGTGCAGAAGAGTTCCTTTTTCTCCACACCCTCGCCAACATTTGTTGTTGCTAGTTTTTTTAATATGTGCCATTCTCACTGGTGTAAGATGGTATCTCATGGTAGTTTTGATTTGCATTTCCCTGATGACAAGTGATGTTGAACATTTTTTCATATGCCTGTTGGCCATTTTCATTTCCTCTTCAGAGAAGTTTCTTTTTAGCTCTTCTGCCCATTTTTTGACTGGATTATTTTCTTTGTTGTTGTTGAGTCTCGTCAGCTCTTTGCAGATTTTTGTGATCAGTCCTTTATCATTAGTGTTGGGTGCAAAAATGTTCTCCCAGTTGGTGGGGTTTCCCTTTGTTTTTGTTATTGTCTCTTTTGCTGTGCAGAAGCTCTTTAATTTGATGTAGTCCCAGCTGTTTATCTTTGCCTTCACTATCACTGCTTTGGGTGATGTGTCTGTAAAGATGTCTTTGATGTGCAAATCACGTAGTGTTTCGCCTATATTTCCTTCTATATATTTTATGGTTTCAGGTCTTATGTCTAGTTCTTTAATCCATTTTGAGTTGATTTTTGTGTATAGCGTGAGGTAGTGGTCAAGCTTCATTCTTTTGCATGTAGCGACCCAGTTTTCCCAGCACCATTTATTGAACAAACTTTCTTTGCTCCATTGCATAGTCTTTGCTCCTTTGTCAAAGATTAGTTGACCATAAATCTGTGGGTTTATTTCTGGATTTTCTATTCGATTCCATTGGTCTGTATGTCTGTTCTTGTTCCAATACCATGCAGTTTTGATGATTATGGCTTTGTAGTATAGTTTGAAGTCTGGGAGTGTGATGCCTCCATTTCCTTCTTTTTTTTTCAGTAGAGCTTTGGCTATTCGGGGTTTTTGGTGATTCCATATGAATTTCATCAATAATTGTTCTATTTCTTTGAAGAATGACATTGAAATTTTGATTGGAATAGCACTGAATCTGTATATTGCTTTTGGTAGGATGGCCATTTTAATAATGTTTATTCTTCCAATCCATGAGCAGGGGATGTCTTTCCATTTCTTTGAGTCTTCTTCTATTTCTTTTAACAGTGTTTTATAGTTTTCTTTGTATAGGTCCTTTACCTCTTTTGTTAGATTATTCCCAAATATTTGATTTTTTTTGTTTCAATAACAAAAGGGATGGTTTTTTTGATTTCTTCTTCTTCAGATTTATTGTTTGTGTATAGGAAGGCTACTGACTTTTGCGTGTTGATTTTGTATCCTGCCACTTTACTGAACTGACTGATGAGTTGAATTAGTTTTTCTGTGGAGTTTTTGGGGTTCTCTATGTATAATATCATATCATCTGCAAATAGTGATAGTTTGACTTCTTCTTTTCCTATTTGGATTCCTTGGATGTCTTTCTCTTGTCTTATTGCTCTGGCTAGGACTTCCAGTATTATATTGAAAAGCAGTGGTGAGAGTGGACATCCTTGTCTTGTTCCAGATCTTAATGGAATTGCTTTCAGCTTTTCACCATTGAGAATTATACTGGCTGTTGGCTTGTCATAGATGGCCTTTATGATGTTGAGGTATGTTCCTTGTATCCCAAGAATTTCAAGGGCTTTTATCATGAATGGGTGTTGCACTTTGTCGAAAGCTTTCTCAGCATCTATTGATATTATCATATGGTTTTTATATTTCTTTTTTTTTTTTTTTTTTAATAGAGGCATGTTTTTTTTATTTATTTATTTGTTTGTTTGTTTGTTTTGTTTATACATGCACTGGGTACAGTCAGAACCGCAGGAGGGTGAGAGAATTCACCAGAGCCAAAGCGGGGAGCAGAGCAGGCAGAAGGACCGAAGTACACTGCTGAGGGGAGCAGCGGGCGGCAGGAGAGGTCTGCGCGCCATGTGGGACCCTCCTCCGGTGGCCGGGGATCAAACCGGCGCTGCAGAGGCCGCGGGCAGCTTCGCAACCCAGCGCTCAACCACTGCGCCACCGGGGAGGCCCTATATTTCTTTTTGTTGATGTGCTGGATAACGTTGATTGATTTTCGGATGTTAAACCATCCTTGTGTCCCTGGAATGAATCCTACTTGGTCGTGGTGAATTATCTTATGGATACATTGTTGGATTCTGATAGCTAAAATTTTATTGAGGATTTTTGCATCAGTGTTCATTAGGGAGATTGGCCTGTAGTTTTCCTTTTTTGTGTTGTCCTTGTTCGGTTTTGGTATTAGTGTAATGTTGGCTTCATAGAACGTGTTTGTATTGTCCCTTCCTTCTCAATTTTTTGGAAGAGTTTGTGAAGGATAGGCACTAATTCGTCTCTGAATGTTTGGTAGAATTCATTTGTAAATCCATCAGGTCCTGGGCTTTTGTTTTTGGGGAGGTTTTTGATTACCATTTCAATTTTGCTGCTTGTAATTGGTCTGTTTAGGTGTTCTATTTCTTCTTTATCTAGCTTTGGGTGATTGTAGAGTTGTAGGAATTTGTCCATCTCCTCTAGATTGTTAAACTTGTTTCCATATAACTGTTCATAGTAGTTACTGATTATTCTTTTGATTTCTGCTGTGTCCGTTGTGATTTCTCCTCTTTCATTGATGATATGTTTATTTGTGCTTTCTCCCTTTTTTCCTTTGTGAGCCTGGCTAGGGGTTTGTCTATTTTATTGATTTTTTCAAAGAACCAGCTCTTGGTTTCATTGATCTTTTGGATTGTTTTTTTAGTTTCAATTTCATTTATTTCTGCTTTGGTTTTTATTATTTCTTTTCTTCTACTGGTTTTGGGGGTTTTTTGTTGTTCTTTTTCTAGATCTTTGAGCTTCGAGATTAGGTTGTTTCTTTGAGTTCTTTCTTGTTTCTTGATGTGAGCTTCTATTGCTATATATTTTCCTCTTATTACTGCTTTTGCTGCATCCCATACATTTAGGATATTGGTGTCCTCCTTGTCGTTCAATTCAAAGAATTTTTTAATTTCTTCTTTGATCTCCTCATTAGTCCAGTGGTCTTCCAGTAGTGTGGTTTTTAATCTCCATGAGGTAGGAAAGTTCTTTGCCTTCTTTTTATGGTTTATTTCTAGTTTGATGCCTTCATGGTCAGAAAAGATGGTTGATATGATTTCAATCTTGGTGTATCTGTTGATGTTTGTCTTGTGCCCCAGTATGTGATCGATCCTGGAGAATGATCCGTGTGTGCTTGAGAAAAATGTGTACTCCGTTTTTTTGGGGTTTAGTGTTCTATAGATGTCTGTTAAGCCCAATTGCTCTAGGTCCTTATTTAGAGCTTTGGTTTCTTTACTTATTTTTTGTCTTGTTGATCTATCCATTGTTGATAGTGGTGTGTTGAAGTCTCCCACTACATATGTGTTTTCTCTGATGTCTGTTTTCAGAGAGGACAACAGTTGTCTGATATATTTTGGTGCTCCTTCGTTTGGTGAGTATATGTTAATGAGTGTTATTTCTTCTTGAAGTATTGTCCCCTTGATCATAATGTAGTGACCATTGGGGTCTCTTTTTATCTTTCTGAGTTTGAAATCTGTTTTATCTGATATAAGTATAGCTGTTCCTGCTTTCTTTTTTGGTCCATTTGCTTGTAGGATTGTTTTCCATCCTTTAACTTTGAGCCTATTTTTATCTTTTGTAGCTAAATGTGTTTCCTGGAGATAGCAAAAGGTTGGATTTTGTTTCTTAATCCAGGCTGCAACTCTGTGTCTTTTTATTGAAGAGTTTAGTCCATTTACATTTAGAGTTAATATTGATATGTTAACATCTGTATTTGCCATTGTGTTTGTCTTTCCTTTGATTTTATTTATTTATTCTTTTAATAACCTTTTTTTTTTTTTTGGCCTTCTTTCATTGTTATTCATCCCTCTGAGGTTCTGGCTTTAGGACTCCTTGTAGTATTTTTTGGAGTGGGGGTTTAGTTGTAATGAAATTCCAGAGTTTCTGTTTGTCTGAGAAGGTCCATATTCTTTCTTCAAAGAGGAAGGAGAGCTTTGCGGGATAGAGTATTCTTGG